CTGTAATCCATGCTTTGGGAGGCCGAGGTGAGTGGATTACCTGAGCCCACGGGTTCGAGACCCGCCTGGGCAACTTGGCGAGACCTCATCTCTACAATAAATTTAAAAATCAGCCAGGCGTGGTAGCGCGCACCTGTAGTTCCAGCTACTTGGAAGGCTGAGGCGGAAGGATCGCCAGAGCCCAGCAGGTCGAGGCTGCGGTGGCCGGGAGCGGCTACTGTACTCCAGTCTGGGCAACAGAGTGAGACTCCGACTCAAAAATAAATAAATAAACAAACAAATAAATAAATAAATAAAGTGCTTAATGATAAATGGTAAGGAGCAGCTGATACGCTTGGGTAACAAGTGTTTCAACACATGCATTTAACAAAAATGTACAACTATAACAAGCACTATTTGAGGATTAAGAGGAACTTTTTTTTTTTTTTTTTGAGTTGGAGTCTCACTTTGTCACCCAGACTGGAGTGCAGTGGCACACTCCCGGCCACTGCAGCCTCGACCTGCTGGGCTCTGGCGATCCTTCTGCCTCAGCCTTCCAAGTAGCTGGAACTACAGTCGTGCGCTACCACGCCTGGCTAATTTTTTATTTTATTGTAGAGATGAGGTCTCGCCTAGTTGCCCAGGTGGGTCTCGAACCCTCGGGCTCAGGCAATCCACTCACCTCAGCCTCCCAAAGGCGTGAGATTACAGGCTGAGCCACCGAGCCCGGCTTCTAATCTAAAGTTTTATAAACAGCTCATCAGACTCCCTATTTGTCGTAGACTTTTGAGTTTATTATTGGGACCATAGAATAGGACCATCTTTTTGGTCTTTAAAATTGTTGTAAATCTTTGTATACACTTTTCTTTTTGAGTTGGAGTCTCAGTCTGTCACCCAGGCGGGAGTGCAGAGGCCCGCTCCCTGCCACCGCAGCCTCGACCTGCTGGGCTCCGGTGATCCTTCCGTCTCAGTCTTCCAAGTAGCTGGAACTACAGGTGCACGTCACCAAGCCCAGCTAAGTTTTTGATTTATTGTACAGACAGACGAGTTCTCGCCAAGTTGCCCAGGCTGGTCTCCAATCCCCGGGCTCAGGCAATCCTCTTTTCTCGGACTCCCAAAGGGCTGGGATTACAGGCTTGAGCCACTGAGCACAGCTCACTTTGTTGTTCATTAAAGGTACTCCAAGGTGAGCCTTGACTCTTTAGTGGTAGAACAAGATTACACACTAACACCAGCATGAATCCATCTGCTTTGCACTACGTCTGAAACGCAAGCCAAGTAGTGACAGCCTGCTGTGAAGTTAAATTGCCGGGATGAATCTTCTGCAGAAATAATTTCAATTTTTTTTCAGTATTTAGTAGTGAAAGATATTAAGGAATTAATGGTAATACATTTCTGGTTTCATATTGTTCAGGAATGCTAGCAAGTTAGTACGTTTTGACAGTTGTTTAAATATGTAATGTTAAGCACAGCTTTAAAAAAGTAAAGTTGGTAAACTGGGTCTTTGTCATTTGCTTAAAAAAAAAGAAAGAAAATAAATGTGAATGTGTTTGGTGCGTTCTTTCCTGATGGGGGGAAAAAAAAATTATTGTGGCCTGGAACGATGGCTCACGCCTATAATCCCAGCACTTTGGGAGGCGAAGGTGAGAGAATTGCCTGACCCCACGGGTTCAAGACCAACCTGTGCAACTTGGCGAGACCTCATTTCTACAATAAATAAAATAATTAGCTGGGCATGGTGGCACGTGCCTGTAGTTCCGGCTACATGGGAGGCTGAGGCGGAAGGATCGCCGGAGCCCGGGAGGTTGAGGCTGCGGTGACCGGGAGCATGCCGCTGCCCTCCAGCCTGAGTGACAGAGTGAGAATCCAACTCAAAAAAAGAAATTATTGTTCCTTCAGTGTAATGTCAAGCTTCTATGATCGGTCTACTGACTTTTTTTTTTTTTTTGAGTAGAAGTCTCACTCTGCCACCCAGGCGGGAGTGCACTGGCACGCTCAAGGCCACCAAAACCTCGACCCCTTGGGCCCAGGCGAGCCTTCCAACACGCGCGCGCCACCACGCCCGGCTAATTCTTCGGCTTTACTGCAGAAACGCGGTCTCCCCAAGTTGCCCGGGCTGGTCTCGAACCTCCCAAAGCGCCGGGGGGCCAGGCGTGAGCCACCGCGCCCGGCTTGTCCCGGCACTTTACGGGGCCG